TATGGAATCAAGGCCGAAAGGTTGCGATATCTATTATACCGAGCCTATGGGTTTACAAGTCGTGGTTTCTGGATCCTAAAAAAAAAAAAAAATGCTAGCTACATTATCCCATAACAAAATAACCATGTGTGACTTACTTATTGACTTCCCATTGTAAATTCTTGTTTCCTTGTGTTATGTCTAATAATTTCGTCAAGTGATTTTTCTACCTACTTATCTTTTAAGTAGTTTGCCTATCGGCATTTTAGTGTGTGTACTTGTGTTTGTTACAATAATTTTTTTTCCCTGCACGATGTTCCACTGGATGTATCTGGTGACTGTCATTTCTGTTCCTGATGTGTTAACTCAACAAAAGACTGCCCAGTCGTAACACTTGTCTATCTGCTGACAGTGGACCTTGCTTACGGCAGATCCTCTTACCAAGAAGTCACTGATGGGGACGACACCACCTGCATCAGTGATCCGGAATTGAGGAGTATTGTTATTGAACTCAGCGATTACTGTACAATCACCTGGGTGAGAATTCGACTTAGAACACCTGGTAGGTGATAACTATTTCCCTTATACACATGTTGGGTGATTGAAAACACTCTAACTTGCTTTTTTTGCTAAAAAAGGCGTCCCGTTTAGGTATTGCAGGGAAAACTAGATCTTTCCAAGCCTAGTATTTGATTAGTGCATTCAGTCACATTTGTTTGTTGATAAGTGCATTAAGTCACACTTGGTATTTGAAATGTGCGTTTAGTCACATGTGTTTGTTGATAAGTGCATTATGTCACACCTGGCATTTGATAACTGCATTTGGTCACACCTGATATTTAATATCCGAAATCAATCTCATTTGGTAGTATACATACATAAAAATGTATGTGTGTGTGCGTGCGTATGTGTGTAAAATAACTCTTACGTTACATGTATATATATATATATATATATATATATATATATATATATATATATATATATATATATATAAATTTATAAATGATTGTAGCAGACCTTGCAGGGCACAGATACAAGCACAAACACACACACAACACACACACACACACACACACACACAAGTGGTTTTTCCAGATTCACTTTGAATAGTTGAATAGTGATTATCGCGTAGCGCTTCATGCAATAGGGAACCGCCGTGACTCAGCTGCTAGACACTCGCCTAGGGATCTGAAGATCGTGGGTTCACAAAAGACCAGAGCTGGACTGTGTTTTCCCATTTAAAATGTATCTTAGCTCCCAAGCTCATGGCTCGTCCACCCTCCGTGGTAAATCTACAGGCAAGCAGGATCTGTTTGCTAATTTCCTAGCATGCCTCCCTGCCCTGGCTCGAAGATAAAACTGATATGCTTCAGCCTCGACCGCTTTAGAGACTTCAGCCGCTGTCTTCAGACCCAGCCATCTTTATCTTCCCGAGCAAGCTAATTGAGTCACTGAGTAAACATGTGCGGGAAAAAGTTTGTGTCTCCAGCCATGTTATTGCTTTTGTCACTGCCGGTAGTAGTCTAGGGAAGTTTTGATTAGCATTCACTGACAGCAATGACTGCCATGCCTGGAATAAAGTAGGGTCGCATTCCCAATCAAAGTTTGGTGCGACGTCGGCTTTTGTCTTATAAACATCGGTCACATTATCAGTTTGTATACAAGCAAGTAGGTGTCAATGGAGAAAAGTTGACAAGTAAATAAACAGCAAGACAAGCTTACTAATGATATAAGAGGCAGAAAATCAGGGACAAATATCTGGTAGACTGCTTGTTGAAGGGACCACTAGTTGGTTGGATGGGAAACTGTCTTTTAAGTCCTCCTTTTCACTATGCGAAAAAGCTCACAGTCACTTAAGATACAACCAGGCAGACGACCATGGGAAACAGTCAGTTGGACAGCTAGGTTAAGGGACGGTCAGTTGGTTAAATAGGCAGACTAATTTTTTTTTTTTTAAATCGCACTTGTTACTTTTTAAAAGTGCGCACCTTCAATTATGGAACAGCAAGGTCGATGTTTAGGGCGATTCTCAGATGGATTGCGAGATGCCGTTGTAGAGTTTGCGCAAGTGAAGTAAGACACTAAAGATGGCCCCTCTGTGATATACATGGAGTGAGTTAACCTGCTCTTTAGGCACTAATATTTTTTCTCAAAGTCGTCCCCTGTTTTTTCAAAAGTAGCCCTGTGTTTTGCAAATGTCCCCCTGTAACCTACTTCACAAGGATAGCTTGTGAAAGACTTAAGGTATCCCAAAAGGGTAATAAAGACACTGAGTGACTTGAAGTGTCCCAAGACAGTGGACGACATCCCAAGGAACGTTGGTGACCGAATTTCCTGAGCATTGAAAGACTTGAGAAATACACTGAGCGACTTAAGTTTCTCGAAGGACTAAATCATCGGGCGATGCTCCCAAAAGAAAGACATCGAACGACTTACAGTGAATCAAGGATAGTAAAGGACTTACCAAAGAACTTAATTGGTCGACCTAACAAGACATGTGAAAGGCTTACTCTGTATATTTATTGACTTAAAGTATCACAGGGCTACTTGCCGACTCACCAACCACTTGAGAAGTTGAAGAGATATATGTCAGGGACTAAAGTTGTCAAAACGTAAAGGAACTGAAATTCTTTACATTTTAGTCATAGCTCTGACAATGTTCCCTGGCGACCGCTTTGAAAAGGTGTTCGTTAGTGCCAAAGTTGACATGTTGCTCGATGTGGAAATATTGAAAAGACTGTTGAATAACACAATTGTTATATGAGTAAAAAGCTACGCAAGAAGCACAGCTGAATAGTGAGAAAAATGGACTGTTAGACTGTTTGTACAAGTTGACCCACTGGTTGAAAGTTTACAAGTTGCTCTATCTATTCCTGTTGAACATATAGACGTCAGTGTACAATGCTGACCAAGAATGGTTAGTTAGCCAGGAAGAGTGACTTTTGAAATAGTCACATTTAATTTGTAAGTAGGAAGGGGGCTGCGTGGTCTCGAGGCATGGTGTCAACTTTAAGTGCTAGAGGTTTCGGGTTCAATTCCCGGTATAGGCTGGGATTTTTTTCACGTGGACTTGGACTTCTAGTAATCACCCTTGGTCTCTTTGTAGTGAGATCAGACGCCAGTGTGTACTGTTTCGCACATAAAAAAATCCTTTGCCAGTTGGAAATCGAAAAGAGTAGACTAACCACGCTGCCCGGGCAATATTTAAAATCTAAAAATCTAAGTTTTTCAGGATCCTCGCCTGTGCTACAGAGCCTGTGCACTGTGCTAGGCTTCTTCAGACTCAGACTTGAGTTAGAAGAAGAATGGAACACTTACGGGTTACTACATGTGTGTCATGTTGGTTATTCGTTGTTCAAAACTTCAAACCTCAAATTTGTAAGGGAAAAAATGTACACTCAGTTATGGATTTACCAGCAGACGACAAGGGTGATTTGTAGATCAAGTGACATAAGAGTGTTCCAACGGAAAAGGACATAAAATGGATTAAAGTGTACCAAGGATATAGATGACTTACCAAAAATCTTTAGTGAACGAATGACTTAACGCGTCTCAAATGAGAGTGGTGTCGCAATGAAGAGAAGATCAAATTACTTGAGAAATGCCAAGGACCAAAGCTAGTAGCTGATGTACCCATGGATGACTCAAGATGTCATAAAAGAGAAAGACATTGATTGGTGTCCCGCTGTAAAAAGGCATGACATGACTGAAGGTGTACCAAGGACAGTTATAGACCGCAAAGCACAAGATGACAAGTTTTGAAATGTGCAGTGAGACACAACGACATTGAGTTACTTAAGACGTTCCAGTGGAGAAGGACATCGGACAACTTATAGTGTGCGAATGTATGTTCATAAATTACTAATACATGTCATGATCTATGTGAACATTTTGAAAAGACGTCTGTTGGATGAGAAAATTAATAAGTTAGTGAAAGCTCTACTAGAGACATTCGTACACATTGCTCTCTCTCTCTCTCTCTCTCTCTCTCTCTCTCTCTCTCTCTCTCTGCTCTTCACTCTCTCACTCTCTCTCTCTCTCTCTCTCTCTCTCTCTCCTCTCTCTCTCTCTCTCTCTCTCTCTCTGTCTCTCTCTGCGCATGTTGAAAAGTGCAAAACTTGTAAACGTACAGTAAGACAAAGTTACTTATGATGCAACCAGGCAGACAGCTGGGAAAAAAAGACGGTCGTATAAAAAAGTTGAAATGACGGTTAGTTATTTAGACAGGCAGAGATATAGTGAAGTCCCTTATGATACAGTAAGACATTTCTGACTTGCCGCGTACAGGTTATCAAGATGGTGGTTTTGAAGGTGGTTTAAAAACTATTGCTGTTAAGAAATAGACGGTAAGTTGGGAACTCGGTGGTTAGTGAGGTGAAAAGAATATTGAAAGTTGATACCAAGAAAAGTCTTCGCAATAGTTTATTTTCATCAATACACCTCCACGATCCTGTAGGGGTCAAGGTTCGTGTTTATGTTATTGGATCTTCCATTTCCACGTTCAGATGTTAAGTTACAAATACCTTCTCTCTGCTACGCTTTGTTGTCCAAGATAATGGTTAGTTGTGTATCCTTTAAAGGAAGTTGCAGAACCAACCCCAAAAGCCATTGCATGTTGTGTGGTTTTTCTAGCTAAATTTACGTCCAGTAGTTTGCTATTCTTTCTGGACAGTCGGCTTTCTTGATATCACTGTCGAAACCAACGCAAGGCGCATGGCCCGCAGCTGGGATCGAACCCCGCATCCCGGCATTACGAAGCGTTTGCATCGACTTAGCCACAGAGCCGACCCAAGATAATGACGAAGGAGAAATGAATAACTGACAAATAAACTAATGTCTACACAACAGATTACACAAACAGATACAGATTCCGCGTGAGAGGTCACGGAGAATTTAGCAAGTGCACCAGGTTACAGGTATCGAAGCCAAACAACACAACAGCTGATGTTTACTGCGAGTTTGCAGAGGAGGTGAAGCACGTCCTCTTTGGAGGTGTGGGGGTGTCCTCTTTGTGTTCCATGTACATCAGCGGAGGTAATGATCTTCTTGTGTTCACTGTACGTCAGTTGAGTTAACGTTCTAGCTATGTCCCCTGTATGTCAGCTGAGGTAATAATTTACCTGTGAACGTCAGTTGAGACAATGTTCTAGCTGTGTTCCCTCTACGTCAGTGAAGGTAATAATCTACATGTGTTTTCAGTACGTCAGTTGAGACAATGTTCTAGCTGTGTTCCCTCTACGTCAGTGAAGGTAATGTTATAGCTGTGTTCCCTGTATGTCAGCGGGGGTAATGATCTACTGTGTTCCCTGTACGTCAGTTGAGATAATGTTCTAGTTGTGTTCTCTGTATGTCAGTAGAGGACTGTTCAATTTGTGTTACTTATACGTCAGCAGAGGTACATTCCTATATGTTTTTAGTGCATGCCAGTGGATGTATTTCCGGTATTCCATGGGAGTTAGGTCCTATATTTATACCGAAAAAAAAATACCTATGCTGAGATATACATATAAGTCCAGCCGCTGTTGCGACAGTAGTGCAGGATTTGATTTTCGAGAATCATCACCATAGAGACCCTGTCATTTACACAGATGGGTCTCTAATTCGCCACGTGAGAAACTCTTGGGCTATTACGGCTCCTGTTGGAGTTGGAATTGTGATACAAGACCCTGGTACTGTTCTCGGAGAGAGTTTGTCTGTGTGTGTTTTATGAGTAAGTGTATGTGTGTCTGGATGTTTGAGATAAGACATTTATAATGCAGCTACATGTTTTGCCATAATTATAGTCTGTGACAGTAGTACATTTTGTTTCCATGTTATAGTATTAATTATTCTTGTCGTTACTGACTGCACTTACAATTTTTGCGATGTGGACAGGGCAAAAAAAGTTTTGGAGTGGGTGGTAAAGGGGGGGGGGGAGCAAGGGGAGAAGAATATTTGCAGCTGATGAGTTTGGAAAGTAAGGCTAGTACAGTCGCCACAGACTGTAGGTTAAAATTTTATTTTTGCCTCTGACAGGAAACAGAAAAATCCTTACCGAGGATTTTAACCTAGGTGTTACACATGAGATTCCATAGTTCTACCAGCCGCTCCTCTTATGTCATAAAAATTAGGTTACATTTCAGCAAAGATTGTTTATGTCTAGGTTAATAATATTGATATTTTAAAATCTATTGTCCAGAAGTAGTATTTAACGGTAAATAAAAGTTACCAAGTAAACATTCATTGTGAGTTGTTGAAATTTGTCATGCAGCCTGTTAACAATCAAGTAATAGAAAAACAATTTTTTGTAAAATGCAAATAAACATCAATTCTTTGTTGAATACCAGGCCTTGATTGTAGATACAGTCATAAACAGATCAGGCAACAGCATCTCACATCCATGAATGAAGAATGTAAATCAAATATTATGACAATCAACATCGAAAAGACAGAAGTAATGGTAATATCAATAGGAAGAAAGGAGCAGGATTTAAAAACATCACTGGAGCATACATATATTAAAAAGTAATCTGTGTTTAGATACCTTGGAATAACATTCACTGAAGATGGTAAATAAAGTTGACGAAGAAATTGACATCCGATGCAGTTTAGCAGGCGAAGTATTGGGACAGCTATCTCACCTCCTAGAGCGTAAGGCAATCCCAATCAGCACAAAGAAATATCTCATACATGTTCATTCACACCGTATGCTACCAGTGACAGGCGTGATCACTAACAGCAAAATATACAAGAAAATTAGTAACTATGGAGATGAGGTGTCTGAGAAAGACTGTAGGAGTGACCAGAAGAGATAAAGTCAGGAATGAGGTCGTAAGAGATAAAGTCGGCACATAACCAATTGTTAATTACATACACAGACAGAAAATCTCATGGTTTGCCATCTCGGAGAGAATGCCTTCTAATGCTATAACATACAAGACATATACCAAAAGAGAAGAGGGACGTAGAGCAGGAGGTAGATCAAGAGCAAGACGAGAAAATAACATCAGAGAAACAAAACAGCACTATGATGTGTCTATTTGGTTGAGCCAGCAAGAAAAGCACGAAGCAGAACATTATATGTCTCTCGACCCCCGACACGGTAAAACAGGACGCGAAAAAAGCAGAATAAACATCAATTTTTTATTTTGTAGTTTCAAAACAAACAGTCATCTTGCTTACAGCTTATCGAAAAATTTGCACTTTTTAAAACATGTATAGGCGTTTCACTATCACTTGGTTATTAGCCTTGTGTGAGTTCAATGGACACATTTGTTCACTGTAAGCGTTAGGCTTTCAAAATATTTACCATCATTGCTGCATTTTTTAACTCATTCATCAACAATCTTCACGCGTTTACCAATGACTGTATACATAATTTTGTGCGGGAGGTGGGGGGGGGGGGGGGGGGGGGGGGTTGTTTGCACAATTTATTCGTCAAATTAAAAAAAAAAAAAAAATTCAACATTCCAAGAAAACAGCAGATCTTTTTTCACGTATTAGGGGCAATAGTGTATATGGGAAGAGCGTCCCAAATTTTTTACAGTCCAATCAGCACTGGATGGGTAATGTGGTCAGCAATACGCCGGTCGTCTTTACTTCCCCAGGACAGCCATCCTGGTACCAATTTTAAGCTGGGTCGACCTGCGACGCCCCATACCAGGATAAAAATCCACGCAGCCAGCAGTGGGTTTCGATCACGGTACGAGTCAGACTCGCAACGTCTAAGCCACAGACGCTGCTTACCAGTATATAAAAAAAAGTAAGAAGTAAAGGACCCTTTTCCACGCCTTTAGGCGTATATGGCATATAGGGCTAGACCTATAATTTTATAGAACAATCGGCACAAGATGGGTGATGTGGTCAGCATCACGACGGCCGCCTTTACTTTACCGGGACTGCACCCGGTACCCACTCAATGCTTGGTCGACCTAGGAGCCAAGGTCCTTTTTGAAAAAAAGTCCGGCCCCGCCAGGGAGCGAGCCCACGACCTTCCGCTCCGCTACGAGCGTCTGGCCGCTCGGCCACGGCCACTACCCTTACCAGTATATACGTGTCTGTAAATGGTTGATTACCTATATCATTGTTTGTGGCTATCATTTCTTGTATTTGATGATACCCGAATGGGTGCAGGTCGAAATGTGGCTTTGAAACAGACAGCCAGGCAGTCCAGTGTGCACATTGTAAGCTCTAAAAAATCCAAACAAAGACTCCTGGTCCTCACTGCCGATTTGGCGCTGGATGGGAACACGAACCAGGATTCATGGGACGGCGAATCGTGCACACACACTAACCGAAGTCAAGAGAACTTCTGGTCGGTCACCTTGTCAATACCTGCGTTGGTCAACAGATATGTCATTTACAATAGGATTGATGAAAGTAGGTTTCTTAAGTGTTTTTGTTTTTTTTATATAATTTTTTTAAACCTTTAATTACAGATATGTGTATCTTTGACTACTCGTTTTGTAATGAGTAACTGCTGATAGACATCTATTTCTTCTTCTCCTTCTTCTTCGCGTTCACCGGCTGTAAACTCCGGCAGGTTGGTTCTGGTTGTTCGTCCACCTCTGAAAGCTAGTCCTCTTCCAGAAACTGAGTGTTGCGTGCAAATCCGTTTCACAGATCTGACTGATTTGTATGCAGAGTTTTGGTTCCTTGACTCTCAGGCAGATGTACTCCGACCTTGAAGGAAGCTACCAATTAGTCGACTACTACGACAGGCTTTTGGACAGGCAGTTTGTTCATTTTTTTTTTTAACCCTACAATGGGGCCCCAGAACCCACACGAGGAAGTCACTAATTTATATACAGAGGCTGTATGTTATTCGGGTATAGGCACACCAAAACACTTATTTTTTGTTTTACAGCTGTAGACACACCTCCGTACATTGATGTGTTGTTTTACATGAACTGTAGACGCTCTTCTATATATTTATATTTTCTGTTTTACAGCCGTTGGCACACATCATACTTTATGGGGGGGGGGGGGGGGGGGTTGCTAAGTTGGACGCATATTTCCGTTAACTGATTTTTTTCTGTTTTACAGCTGTAGTAGAAACATCTACATTTATTTATGATTCTTGTTTTGCAGATTTGATGCATAGACTCCTTGGTTTCGTTCTGAGAAGTTTTGATGAGGACAACCAAGTGGTATTTAACTACACCGATGAAAACACGTCGCCGAAAGCCATCTACTTAATAAGCCATAAAAACCTGTCAGTTAAGGAGGTCGTTATTTCCCTAAATGGTTCGCAGACGGTGCTCACCCTTTGCGAAGTTGAAATATACGGAGGTGATTGTAAATGTCTTGAGCGCGTATGCGGTGTCACGTTTTGCCAAATCCATATATGTCATATGCGTGCAATTTCGTGCTATGTCAAGGCTGTGTAATGTCCAGTCGTGTGATTTCGTCCCGTGCCGTTTCTGGTAATGTATCATTGCATGCCATGTCGTGTCAGACTGTGTCTTGCAGTAAGATTGTAGTGGCATCTCCTGCAAATTGTGTCCGATTGTGTTACGATGTAAGTATACATACAAGTAATGGGGAAGGATGATGCACATATGCAACAAAGTAAATGAATACAAAGAAGAAGAAGAAGAAGAAGAAGAAGAAGAAGAAGAAGAAGAAGAAGAAGAAGAAGAAGAAGAAGAAGAAGAAGAAGAAGAAAGAAGAAGAAGAAAAAGAAGAAAGAAGAAGAAGAAAAAGAAGAAAGAAGAAGAAGAAAAAGAAGAAGAAGAAGAAGAAGAAGAAGAAGAAGAAGAAGAAGAGAAGACGAAGAAGAGAAAAAGAAGGAGAAGAAAAAGAAGAAGAAGAAGAAGAGAAGAAGAAGAAGAAGAAGAAGAAGAAGAAGAAGAAGAAGAAGAAGAAGAAGAAGAAGAAGAAGAAGAAGAAGAAGAAGAAGAAGAAGAAGAAGAAACAGAAAAAGAAGAAGAAGGAGAAGAAGAAGAAGAAGAAGAAGAAGAAGAAGAAGAAGAAGAAGAAGAAGAAGAAGAAGAAGAAGAAGAAGAAGAAACAGAAAAAGAAGAAAAAGGAAAAAAAAGAAGAAGAAGAAGAAGACAGGAGAAAAATAAGAAGAGGGAAACGAGGATCAGGAAATGGGTGTAGGCCAATGGATGGAATGAGGAAGACGATGACGAAGAGAGAAGGACGAGGAGGATGAGTTGGAGTGAGTGAAGACACCGAGAGCAATGTTAAATGGGACCAGCATCACATCCTGGTTCGTGTTCCTATCCAGCGCCAAATCGGCAGTAAAGAACACGCGACTTGGTAAGGTTTTTGAGACATTAAAAAAAAAAAATGTAATTTGTATTATGCTAATCAATTTTTTTTTTTTTTTTAATAATTTTTTTTTCTTTTTTTAACTTCAAATTGGACATTATGATTGCAGATTCTGAATGCGACTATGGGTACTTTGGGCTCGAGTGTGAGCAGACTTGTAATTGTTTCTTTCAAGAGGAATGTTTTGTAAGCACAGGAGGCTGTACCTCAGACTGCGCTACAGGCTACCTGGGAAAGGACTGCAACACACGTAATGACGTCTTATATGTCTGTTTCTCTACTCAAGCAGGTTCTGGAGTCTACCTAGATTATCCTAATGGATCTTTTGAAGAGAAACAAAATGCTTGTTGCGGCGGCAATGGGTCTATTCTTGTCTGAATGCAGACTGCTTCAATTATGCTACCACGACGACTTCGTATCTCACAGTACCTTCTACAAAATCACCAATTCGTCTTGTCCCTGTCCGAACAACATCCGGTAATTTCGTGCAGCAGGGGAGACCAACCCTGAGCTTCATGAACTCAGGTGGGCCCATTCTGTGAAAATGTCTAGGAGCTCGTGGGCCGAAACCTTTGTCGACGAGAGATTTCTTCTACTGATGATTGGTAGACCCCTGCTGTACATGCTCCCCTGTGGAGTTTCTTCTTACTCATTGCCTTCCCCACAATGGGAACATAGAACCCACAGGGGAAAATCAGACACTGAATGAGAAGACAGCCTCTGTGGTCAAACATCTAAACGTTCCCAACAGATCGGAATGTCGTGGTTTCAGGTCCAGACGGAGCCCGACAATTCTTTTTTTGAAATCTCTAAAAATGACTTTTCCTTACAGGTCCACCAAGCCTTAAATAGGTACCAGGTTGAGCAGCAAGCAGGCCGTTCTGCATCACTTGATGGTGAATTGATGTATGACAAGCTAGATGCTGTGAGGGCCTTTCGGGAGTGAGTGAAAAGTGTGAAGGCACAAATAGATCATTACAATCTGTGGAGAAGGGCCCTATGAGGAGTAGCTAGGGGATATGGCCAACGCTCAATCCTTAAAGGAAAGGCGAGACAAATAGACAACCTGTTACAGGTGCCATCACAGTTGGAACTCTCCGCTTGCTGCTGAGGAAGGAGACGGAGCGCTTATGGCAGTGTCCCGAGTTCTGTGATGTCGATACTAAATACAACATTCAGGTAAAGTCGTGGCCAGTAAAGCCGACTGGTGCAATGCTGACCACAGCAGCCTCTGAGTGCCGATTTGTGTATATAATAGGATCTAGACCTAGATGTCCAGTAAGTTTAAAGGCGTGGAAAAGGTATAGAATGATAAACACACGGACTGACTAAACTAGGGCTCCAAACAGAAACCGTTTAGCGAACGTTAATGAAAGCGCTTAAATGTGCTTACTGAATTTAGTCCATAATATAGAAAAGATGGGCAAGCTAGAACCTTGTGTGTGAACAGACAGTAAGCACTATGTAATGTACTAAGGTCGAAACATGATGATGATGATGATGTAGATGATGTGAAGTCATAGAGACACTTCTGTGATTTGAGCAGCTCGTTCTCAGCCGTCAGTCTGATCCGTGGTAAGGCATTATCAGTTCACATGCATTAGCTGGTAACGACTCTTTTGAAGAGGATATCGCGTTATACTTCCTTGCCCACACTTCTGCGTGCGCTGATAGAATTGCACTAGTAACTGCTAGCTTCATCCATCTTTGTTTCTGCATGAGCGATGTAAGCATCCGAGCGTTCTTCTGGCTTTTTTTTCGAGACCTAAACAGAGTAGCGTCTTTGTAATAAATAGTTAGGTTAGTTGCATATCCTTTACACGACCAACCCCATCAGCCCCTGGCTGTTGTGTGGTTTCTCTAGGCAAAATTACGTGCAGTAGTTAGCCATTTTTCACTGAAAGGTCAGCCTCCCTGATACTACTGTCGAAATCAACGCAAGGAGCACGGCTCGCAGCTGGGATCGAACCTGGCATCCCGGCATTACGAAGTGTTCGCATCGACTTAGCCACAGAGCCGACGTAATAAATAGTATATATTATTAATAAACCTGAATGGTATAGACATATAATAGGATCTAAGGATTTTTCAAACACAATACTACAGAGCTCAGTAGAGTGTAAAAGGACAAGAGGCAGACCAAGAAAGACCTGGTTACATAACTTGACTGATTGGATAGACCTTAGGCATGCAGCCATGAAGGCCATTGCATCTGACTGTCCCAGGGTAAGGGAGCTGATCAGTCAGCAGCGACTGGTGACATAACGACTTGCAGTGTTGCGAATCAGTCATGATGAATAATAAATAGCAATGTAAAACATGTTTCTTTGGCAATGGAAATTGGTGGGGAGGTTTACAGCTGTTACATAAAATGTGAAGGAGCGGCTGGCCAAACGGTTAGTACGCTGGGCTCTCAAACGGGAGACACGGGTTCAAATCCTCGGAAAGGCTAGGAATACTTTTTTTTTTCTGTCGGGTCCATACTAAAATACTTATACACGCGTGGCGACAGCACTAGCCCCGTGGCTGTCATTCCTTAGGTTCAAAGACTGGCCTGCCTACACCGCAGCAGTGGTAAAATAATGGCAATAATTGGCAGTTTGGCTGTTGGCACATAAACTCTGCACCACTTGTCTGACCCAAGACATACACAACAATTCTTCTATTACAGCGTGCCCCTCTGGCCAGTACGGCCCCTCTTGTACGCTGTCTTGCAGTGCGTTTTGTGCTAGGACAAGTGAGGACAACAAAACTTGCCACCATGTGACTGGCGAGTGCTTGAATGGCTGTGAGATTGGCTATAAAACTCCGACGTGTGTCTCAGGTAATTGCTGATCCGGGTTTTCTGTCTTAGTATGCATGTCACGGTAGCGCAGCCACTTGACCAGTGGTTCTCAACCTTCCTAATGTAGCGACACTTTAGTACAGTTTCTTGTGTTGTGGCGACCACCTAACCACACGATTATTTTCATTGCTAGAACATAACTTAAGTGAATATGTCCCCCCCCCCCGGTAACCCCCGTGAAAGCTCGTTCAACCCACAAAAGGGTCGTGACCCACAGGCTGAGAATCGCTGCACTAGACACTGTCTTGCCATCCGATAGATCTTGTGTTCAACTCAGATGTTTTAAAAAAAAGGTTTTAAGACATTTGCTCCTGCACACCCCAGTCTAAACTGAGCAACATGAACTTCATGAACTTCAATGGTGAAGTAAAAAAGCCTGTCATCACGATGTTGGTTGATTACAACACTCCTCAAACGTCGAATAATTTATAATTTGAAAAACACACACACACAACAAAAACATAGGAGTCCACTGTTGTGTGTTCTCTGTGACAAGGGCGTGACACCGTTTTTATTAATTTACTACATTTGCTTATTTACAGTATATATATTATTTTTTAAAATTATAGACACGTATAGGGACGGGAATCTTATGACGCCATACACATAATACAGCTTAAAAACACGCAAGGACGCTGGAAGCAAACTCCTCGGAATTGAAGACGCCTGCCCCGTTTAGTAAACACATACTGGGTACCTGGAAACTTAGGCATCCTTACCCCCAATTCCCCACCGCTAATTAAGGTATAGTAATACTCAAATCCCTTTTCCGCCTAACTCACCATCCCCCAACCTAAACCGAAAGCACCCCCCCCCCATCCCGGGGGGGGGGGGGGCTTCCTTTTAGGGTACATTTTACTTGTGTAAGTAAATCCTCTATGCTACATCTACAGAGAGTCAAAGAATATAATTTTCCCTATGAACACACTGAAGGTCCCTCTGCACACAGTGAAGGACACAGAACATTGTGCTGCTGAGAAGATGACTTTTCTAGGAAAAGCCAAAGACGTTTTTAAAGTTTACAAAAAAAAAAAAAAAAAATATATACTCAGGAGACCACAGTTTGGGAATCTTCATCTAAAATGTTATACCTGCCACCCTAATTGGTTTAAGGAGAAGGGCTCCTAGAACGCTGACAGTAAATTCTCCGGGGTAAAGTTTATATATTTTATCGCTTGGCATTCGACAATGATGGCAGGCGGCCACTTTGCTAGCGCAGCAACAATAGAACACCGATAGAACCAAATCTCACCAGTACCTGTTGAACATTAATCCTCATTTCGTCCATACGTTTCCGATTAGGCGCAGTAGGATTTGCTAGGATCTGGCGTTATAACCATGATTTGCCCACTTTCCGAGATTGTTTAGGATGGTAACGCGCCGAAACAATTGTCGACGGAGGATCTTCTACTGATGACCGGTAGACTCCTGCTGTGTATGCTCCCCTGTGGAGTTTTCTTTGTATTCTTTAAACTACTGGCTACTGGTTGCGTTCATTGGCAAAAAAGAGTAGAAATTTGTGAGCTGTGAAGTAGGAAGCGTAAAAGGAAATTATAACTCTCAGTTATTTGGGATCACATACTGTCTCGCGGCATGGTGTCAGCCTCGAGTGCTAGAGATGCCGGGTTCAGGCCACGGTTAAGGCTAGGATATTTGCCAGTGAACTTCTAGTACTTTCACGTGGTCTCTGGGTAGTGAGATCAGACACCTGTGTGAATTGTTGCGCAGTTGGAAATCGAAAACATTAGCCTAGCGGCTACAGAGCCTCTGTACCGAACTGAGCTACTTCGGACTCTGAATTGAATTAGAAGTAGAACAGAACATTTATGAGATACTACAATAGTGGTTTTACAGAAAAATGCCTTGGACAGCCAAAAAGAGCAACCAAGAGGGTTGAAAGAGGCGGGATCCCGAAGACAACTTATCACAGACATCGGAAGCAGACAGTCATCATTTTGCTGTTATGTTATGAAAAGAGGGAAAATATAACACGTTGTGACCACTGGAAAGATCCGTGGAGGGAGGGATAGAGGAAGACAACGAGAGAAGACTCTTGACAGTCTTGTTGCATGGCACGGAGGTATGTCGGCACACGAACTGATACATGCTGCAAGAGATCGCAGATTGTAGAGAGGCATGATGGCCCATGCCAGTCCGCATGGCACCAGATGATGATGACTTTTGTGCCATAATGGGATCATTGTTCCAACCTCAAACTCAGCAGTCGAATTTTATAATCAAAGATAATTATTAAAAAATCAATGTGTCCTAATCCTTGCTTCCATAGGGAGTCCCCGTGGAGGAGCTGTTAGAAGCTCGCTGCCGATCGGAAAGTCATGGGTTCGCTCCCTGGCGGAGCCGGACTTTTTTCCAAAATGACCTTGGTTCTCATGTTGACCCATCGTTGAGTGGGTACCCGGTGCAGTACCGGGAAGTAAAGGCGACCGGCGTGATGTTGACCACATCCCCCATCTTGTTCCAACGGTCTATAAAAATTTAGGTCTAGCCCTATATGCCCTTTACTCCTAACGGCGTGGAAAAGGGTCCTTTTCTCACTTGTTTCCATCTTCGCCTCGAGGGTGACCATAATACATTTCAAGTATAAACACTAAGTTACACTGCAATCAAACGCATTTAGGATCTCTCTGAGTAAATCTGATTTTAAAATATGGCATTGATTCTAGGTTTGAAATCAATTTACAGTCACAACAGTGATTCTCTTTTTAAAATCATACAGTTATTCTAGAACCATATATGGAAGACTAGTCATAGTAACTTTATACTGGTGTCCTCCACCACTTATGTATGTCCACACCGAGAAATGTGCTTGTGGAAGATTTCACATTAAAAAAGAAGCGTATGAATTAGATATATTTTCCTAAATCCAGAAACCATGAGTTGTAAACCCTTTGGCTCGGTATTATGGATATCGCAACCCTTTGGCCTTAATTCCATGATAGATACCGCAAACCTGGGAAATATGCGGCTTTTCTGTGTACCCCCCTTCGTGAACCTAGACCCCCCCTCCTCCCCCACCCCCAAAAAAAAAAAAGTTTGTCACTCGGTCACTGCGCAACTGGTTTAACTAACTTTGCTAGCGCGCAGTGCTAGGTTTTATAATAAATCCCTACACTGATGTGTGCATCATTATTTCACACAATTAAATGAAATAAGCATTTACATAATATGTTTACATACATATATTTACACGATCATGGTATTAGTATTATATAGGAAATAGTCTTGGTGAACAATGACAGTTCATGCGATCGAACCATGTTTTTCCAACAGAATCTTATGACATTATCGCACTCTATTAAATAAAGCATTTTTGCTCCATTTGTAGACTAAAAAGCCCAGCTTCTAAGTTGAGTGCATGGCGTGATACTGTGAGCTGCAAATTTAACTTGTAATGTTTTTCGACTGTGTCACGTAGTGGTGTGAATTGTAGATTCAGAAAATTGTGCGATGTCTGTTTTCGCAATATTGCTGGTGGCATTATGTGATTAAAATTAATCGCATGTGCAACTGCTGATCTTTTGGTGACTTCTGCTACCATCCATGATGAACTGCATTTCTAATGTCGGACTGTTTGTGTTAGCACTTTGGATGGCTAGATATGCTCAAACAGAAGTCTGTCAATCTTTCCACAAGGGACTGTGATAAACATTAGGTATGTTTTTCGTTGGCACAGGAGCGGAGTAACTATGGGGTGACACGTTTGCTATGAGGCTGAAACAAAGATTACCAGATTACCAGAATTACGGTTTTGCTAAAATAGGATGCGCTGTGCCGAACAGCACAAATTGCACAGCCTATCTGTAAACCACAACACAACATGTCAACTACCATTTTTTCCAGCTAACTTAGGGAAAAGAATACCTTTATTGTTGTAATCAGCACTTTGAACCCTGGATTCGTAAAAGTACCGTCCCTTCTTTCGACTTAGAGAATGCATTCATTTAAGTTTAATTCAGAAGCCCATATCAGGGCGGCACCAAAGAAGGCAATACTAGACAACCTCCCAAGCAGCAGATAAAAGAGAAGCAGACACATGAGAGCCTTGCCCGACGTGGATAACGATGTTGGAAGAAATCAAAAATTGGAAGACAGCCATATCAATTGCAATGTTCAAGCGGAGCAACAAGGAAGAGTCATCATTAATCACCCTAATTATAACCTACAAACACAGGTAGAGCAGTGTAAATTCATAGGGAACACGTGTTCAATTTATCAGGAGCCTCGGCTGCAAACAGGCTGCTCACCAGAAGGACGTGGGTTCGAATCTACATGAAAAGGCTTTTTTTTTTTTTTTTTAAGAGCACACCATAGCTTCCGGGTCTCTAAACATGTAAACATGGCAATGCGCTGCAAAGTAACTGTGGAGGGTGCATTGTTCGCTAAATCATCCGCCTAGTGATGGTTAAATAATAGAAAAAAAGAAAGTCATAGGCTCAAGCGCCAGTGGATGTGAAAATGGGGCTTTACTGCTACTAAATATGTTACCAAAGTATTGCCTGAGGAAAAAAAAATTCTTAGAGTAATTATTTGTTCGGAGCCACCAGTTTGCCAAAAGCTTACTGTCGGGTGACAGATAGATAAAAAGCTGTAACGATGGAAGTTAAAAAAAAAAGTGGTCTTTACTACTCAAAAATATTTTAGCAAAGTATTGCCTGAAAAAAAAAAAAAAATCAGTCTTCAGAGCCACCAGCTTATCAGAAGCCCTTTGTGGAAGGCTAACTGAACATTCGTACTGCCACAAGACAGAACAAATACAAACAGCAACGATTGCCGTAAAAAAAGTGATCTTTATTACTAAGAAATATTTTACCTAAGTATTGCGTGGAGAAAAAAAAAGTAATTGTTGTTTAATACTGGAGGCAGATGCGATAGACTTCTTCTTCTTAGCGAACGCCGGGTGAAACTCCGGCGGAAAGTTTTAGGTTGTTCGTACTCTTCTGGATTTGTTCGTGTTCTAA